AAAAAAAAAAAAAAAAAAAAAAAAAAAAAAAAAAAAAAAAAGGAAGGAACGATTAATTAAATCGATCGAACGAAAATTGACGAAGTTAAATAGTCGAAAAGTCGTTTGGTTTTTTTGGTCCCCATACCAATGTGTCTGTCCATGCACATGACCACCAACATACTACCATTACAAAGAAGAAGAATAAAAAGAAAAAAAAAAGAAAAAAAAATACACATACACAGACGCATACAAGTAAAGAGAAGGGTCTAATGAGTTCGAGAAGCTTATGAGGGACAACCATCATCTACTTTACTTTACTTTACTTAACTTTACTTTACTTTACTTTATTTTACTTCACTTTACTTTACTCTACTCGTTTCTACAATGTAATAGTAGTAGTAGTAGTAGTGGTAGTAGTGGGTGGTAGTGATGCAAGGTAAACTGTAAAAGGGGAGGTTATACAGTTGCGCATGCACACTCCTCTGCCCGAGTTCTTAATTAGAGCGTTCAACTCACTTCGATATTGGTGATCTAAATTCGTAGCACCCTTTTAAAGCTGGGTTAGAATATATATATAGATATGTATATATGTATACGTGGTCTTTTACTTGTACGATCAATTTTCCTCCACGTAAATTTTTTTTCTAAAATAACATTTCTTTTTTTTTTCTATTTTTTGTTTTTTTTTTTTCTATTGGAATACAACAACAAACCGTGTCTTTAATTTGTACGACGATCGATTTGCATATTTATACGTGGTTTTTTACTTGTACGAACTTTTTTCTAAAATAAAATTTCTTCCTTTTTTTTATTTCTTTTTATTTTTTTTTTTTTTTCTATTGGGATACAACAACAAACCGTGTCTTTAATTTGTACGACGATCTATTCGCATATGTATATGTGGTTTTTTACTTGTATGATCAATTTTCTAAAATAACATTTCTTTCTTTTCTTTTTTTTTTTCTTCTTTTTATTTTTTTTTTTACTATTTTATACAACTACTACTGTTAAATTTCAAATTATTCCGAGTACTAAAGAAGATATTATTTTTTGACCTATTTCCTCGAGTACCACACACAAACATATTATACATATGTGTATACACAAAGTTTTGAATCATTAATTTGCAATATCAGTTCTAACATTTCAACATTGCACGTTCGGAGAAAATATATTCGAACGTGACAACTCGACGATAAAATTCAAATAATCCGAATAAGTTTTCACCGTTTGCTCGAGGGGGTGGGTTGAAGGGGGAGGGGGCGGGCTGGGGATAGAGGGTTGAGGGTTGGGATGACAATATAAACGATAGCTACGAATTTTATTCGAATTTCATATCTCTAACGTGATATACGAAAATATATACAGGGTGTATTTAAATAACTGACATGAGACAGTATAAATCTGTGTTACTTATTGCGAGGAAGTAAAAAAATTTGAAGAACTTGTCATGTAAATGTTAAGAAATAATATTATCATATCGTATAACTAATATGATTGATGAATTAATAATCAAGGGGAAAAATGTAAACAATTCAAATATAATATAAACATTGTAAGAATAAAAATGTTGATTATTAAAAAAAAAGAAAGAAAAAAAGGGTATATTAGTAATAATAATTTCTCTAATAAATAACTCCGACAAATATTTATATTGTATTAAAAATTAATATTGAGATTGGGTAATAGAATTAATTACAATATTTCAAAATGATATTCTTACAATTGAATAATTAATTATGAAGAAAACAATAAGAAATATTTAAAGATATTATTTTTCATGTGATTGATTAATCCTCGTGATTATTTTAATAAATGGTAAATATAATAAATATTGTTATAGGATTCCTAAAAACCGGATCGAAAGGAAGCGCTCAAGGAAATTACGGATTAATGGATTTAGTAGCTGGACTTCATTGGTTGCGCGAAAACATCGAAGCTTTCGGGGGTGATTCAGAAAGGCTTGCATTACTTGGCCATGGTACTGGTGCAGCTCTTGCAAATTTTTTAGCCGTCTCACCGATGGCCAAAGGTATATATATATATATATATATTATTTTTTTATTAATATTATG